AATGTCAAGGAACTGTCAGAGAACTGTCAAAGAAATAGCGGAGCTCTCTGCAGAGACACTTTTTGCTGGACTGGAATTCCTCTTATTTTCATCCTACTTCTTCTTCTTCTTTTTCATCCTCATCCTCTTCTTCTTCTTCTTCATCCTCTTCTTCTTCTTCTTCATCCTCTCTTCTTCTTCATCCTCATCCTCATCCTCTTCTTTCTTTTCTTCTTCTTCTTCCTCTTCCTCTTCTTCTACTTCTTCATCCTCATCCTCTTCTTCTTCTTCTTCTTCTTCTTCATCCTCATCCTCATCCTCTTCTTCTTCATCCTCATCTCTCTTCTTCTTCTTCTTCATCCTCCTCCTCTTCTTCTTCTTCTTTCCTCATCCTCTTCTTCTTCTTCATCCTCATCCTCTTCTTCTTCATCATCCTCATCCTCTTCTTCTTCATCATCCTCATCCTCTTCTTCATCCTCATCCTCTTCTTCATCTCATCCTCTCTTCTTCTTCTTCCTCTCTTCTTCTTCTTCATCCTCATCCTCTTCTTCTTCATCATCATCCTCATCCTCTTCTTCTTCTTCTTCCTCCTCATCCTCATCCTCTTCTTCTTCCTCATCCTCTTCTTCTTCATCCTCATCCTCATCTTCTTCTTCCTCATCCTCTTCTTCTTCATCCTCTTCTTCTTCTTCATCCTCTTCTTCTTCCTCATCCTCTTCTTCTTCCTCTTCTTCTTTTCTTCTTTTTGTCTTCCTCTTGCAGGTCACTGCTCATGCGCAGATTTTTTATCAGTAAAAAATCGGCCAATTAGCCCATTAATGCCGCGAAAATCGCCGATCGGCCGATTTTTTTCCAACTTTACCAAAAAAAAAAACGGCCAAAATCCCGAAAAACGGCCGAACAAATAGCCCACTAACGATCCGAAAATCGTCCGATTTGATTTTCGGCCGAAAAATCGGCCGATTTTCGACCCATCTATGGCCTGCATAATACAGTGATCAGTGCTAAGAATATGCACTGATCACTATATTAATGACACTGGTTGGGAAGGGGTTAACATCTAAGGCAATTAAAGAGTTAAATGTATGCCTAGCTATGTGCTTGGTGTACACTAGGTGGTGCTTATTCTAGGGGAAGTGAAGGATTGTGTTCCCAGCTTTGTAGGGACACACAATCCTTCACTTCCTCACCTGTTAGAACAGAGCTCTGCCTTGTTTACATAAGCAGAGCTCTGTTCTTTCTCCTGTCTGATAAACGGCGGGTGCCGGTGAACATCCGTCCACCAGGACTCACAGATAGTCTTCTGCTGTGCGTGTTCACAGCAGAAGCGAGCTGCCGGAAGTACACACATGTGCTCCCTATGGCAGAAGTGCAAAATCAGGTATATATACATGATTTTGCACAGGAGGACTGCCCTGTAGCAGTAAAACTGCTGTAGGGTGGTCTTCAAGTGGTTAAGTCCCAAAGATTTATCTTCTTCCCTTACTAGAATCTTAACTTGACCAGAATTTGGCCTTAGGCGCGCTTAAGAGACAGATTTTAGCCTTGTCCATTTTCTTTCAAAAACCTTCATTTTCCCTTGTAAAACGGTTATTATAGGCGTTTCTTGGATTAGACGTCCCTTGTAACACTTTAATCTTTATGGCCATTTGCCCAGGTATGAGAGCTCCCTGGTTTTAAAATGCGTTAATATCTTGGCAACTTTAGTAATCTGCTCCTGAGTTTTCTTTTTATTGGCATCTTGCTTGGTTAATGTTTGTTGAAGATATCATCTTGTCTAGGCATAGTCGTCAGTTATTTAGAAAACTTGACCTTGATATCTTTTGCACAGTGATCTATACAGAGTATATGAGTGGTCTGTAGACACCTGTAGAGAGACCCAGTAAGTATGAGCCCCTTCGCTCATTGGCTCAGGAGGCATACAAGGCAGTTAAACTAGAAATATGTCCATTATGCCATACAATATGAGATTGTAAAAAATAAAGTTTTAATCTGGAGGTACACTCAAATCAAACTTCAATACTTATCATGGGAATGCACACAGCCTATAGCAGAGCTTTTGTTTATAACCACAGTCAGGTTTTTTATTGCTGTGTCCCCAGTCAGGAGATTTGGCTATTATAGGGCTTATTCACACACATGACTGAGGGGTGGTAAAAAAACAGCTGAACGTGGTTTTACCACCCCTCGGGCACCCACCTGAACCTTAACCTTAACTTTACAACCTGACAGGGTTGTCCACATGCTGTGCCAGATTATAAAAAATATTACAGGAGGTACTAAAAAGTTAAATAGGCTCTGCCAAACAACTTAAGTGCTGTTCAGTAACCAAAAAACCAAAACCTCAAAATATCAAGTGAACAAGCTGTTCAAAGCGGTTACATAGAAGGACAATGCGGTAAACTGACACACAACCAGTGTATAAATATAATGCTTTATTATTATCAAAAGTTATATGCAAAAATTGCCAATTGTACACAGAAGAGGATTAAAAACCTTTTAGTACACATCACCTCGTCCCAGACAACGTTGTCTGTGTAATCTTATATTAAAAATAAATGGCGTCATGGTATGGCCAAAATCAAATGACGTTTAGCAGAATGGTAGCGACACAATCCTGTCATCTGCTAAGCTGCAATCTCAACAAGGAGGTGTACTTCTAGGATATCATTAAGGTGTTGTATCCAGAACAGATCAAAAATGCCAAATCGGATTAATAAGCGTGAAGTCCAAAGTGTGTCACAAAAAATAAATTGCACAGATAGTCTTGTTCACTGGAATTAATGTGGTGTATAGTCCCAAGATGGAGTCATTGAATATGCAACTCAGTTCAATGGTTAACAAGATAGACCACCTTGGACATGCATGAGTATAAAGTGGCAACTCTCTGGAAATAAGGATGGCGGCAAATGGTAGATATTGGCAGTAAATTGTGGCAATTGTTGGCAGGAAGACACCAATTCCCTGTTTGCAAAGTGGACCTAAGTGATCCAATCAAACGGAAAAAAGTCCTTACAACCGGTGTGTGGCCTTGCAGGAGATATGTTCACCCTATGAACTTGTAACTGTCCGTCATTAGAAAGGCGCCATATCGCACATAGTAGGGTGTGTTGACTCACCAAGTGGCCGAATACCGGGATGTATAAAGGCCCATCCTTACTGCATTTAATAGTCATCGATGGGAAACCATGCTGCCGTGAGATGCCATGAATAGCTCAGTGTGGTGACACGCTTGCTTCCGCTGCACTCTGTGTTTTACCCGTGTGTAATGTGCATACCTCAATGGATTGAGGCCATCTGTGACGTCAACACGTTTCGCCGATGGGCGTATCAAAATCAGCTTCGTCACCACACTGAGCTGAGATTATTATTATTATACAGGATTTATATAGCGCCAACAGTTTGAGCAGCGCTTTACAAAATGAAGGTAGACATTACAGTTACAATACAATTTGGTACAAGAGGAAACAGAGGGCCCTGCTCCTTAGAGCTTACAATCTAGGATTATACTTTAAAGTAAAAACCCTCATTGCAAAAAAATATTTCTCCATGGCTCCATGTGACTAATAAATATTGTAAGGTTATGTTGAAGATTGTGGGATTGGGAAATGTTTCCCAAAAGACTATTCCCTCTCTCAATGCCCCATCCCTCTCCACGTTGTTTCCTTAAACTTCCATTAGGGAATGTGCAACCGTCAGGTGTACAGTGCTGGCTTGGGAGATTATTTGGAATGAAGTCAGTCAGTAATTGCACTACAAGGGAGATCTTTGTAAGACAACCTAGCTACCCTATATCCGGAAATGGATTGGGTATGACTTTCAGTGAATGCTTTTTTGAAAAGACAGGCTGCAAATTAAAAAGGGTAAAACAATGGAAATATAAAGAGTATGCTGCATATAATTTCCCATTTACAAGGTTTTAGCCACATCAATACCGGGCACTCTTACCCCCTTCTTGCCCAGGCCAATTTTCAGCTTTCAGCGCTGTCGCACTTTGAATGATAATTGCGCGGTCATGCGACACTGTACCCATATGACATTTTTATTATTTTTTTTCGCACAAATAGAGCTTTCTTTTGGTGGTATTTAAGCACCACTGAGTTTTTTCTTTTTTACTAAATAAAACAAAAAATAACCTAAAACTTTTGAAAAAAAAACGCACTTTTCTTCGTTTCTGTTATAAAATTTTGCAAATAAATAACATTTCTTCATAAATTTAGGTCAAAATGTATTTTGCTACATTTATTTGGTGAAAATAATAATCATTTAATTTGTATTATTTTTTCTATTTTTGTATTTTTTATTACATTATTTTTTCTTTTTTTTTACAATTTTTTTTTTCAACACACTGACTAAAGCAATACAATGTTACCATAGTAACATTGAACTACTCTGGGCAAGTGATCAGGATTTTTCTTTTTTCAACACATTATGATTGCTCATACCAATGTATTTAATTGATATTTGCAATCATTGTTACTGAATGAAACTGATTCCTTCAGTCTTTTGTTGTGATTAGCTGTGATTGGGCAAAGCTGATCACATGCTGCAGATGGGCTGTGAATGGCCCTGTCTGTATCATGTAACTGCTTTGACCAGTCACAGCTAAAAACATAATTGTATGCAATGGATGGCATGACAAGAAGAAATCCATTGTATACAATTGACATGTGATCTGCTGTGATTGGTCACAGTGGTTACATGACACTGACAACAGGCTGGTGTAGTAATAGGTCATCGGCTGTGTCCCGTGTACACAGCCGGTGACAGATCGCGCGGCCTGTTTTGACAGGAGGTCATATGACACCCAGTCACAACAAGGAGTCTCCCGCCCGGCCATCAATCTGCAATAGGCCAGGTGGGAAGGTGTTAATAACACTTAAGACATAATAACTCTGTACACCTCCTGTCTTTTTGCAGTTTAATTACCGTATTTTTCACTCCATAAGACACACCTGACCATAAGGCGCACCTAGGTTTTAGAGGTGAAAAACAAGAAAAAAAATATTCTGAACCAATGGACTGCAGACATAGTACAGAAAATGACCAGAGACTGCGGACACAGTACAGGAGATAATCAGAGACTGCAGACACAGTACAGGAGATGACCAGAGACTGCAGACACAGTACAGGAGATGACCAGAGACTGCGGACACAGTACAGGAGATGACCAGAGACTGCGGAAATAGTACAGGGATGACCAGAGACTGCAGACAGTACAGGGGATGACCAGAGACTGCGGACACAGCACAGGAGATGACCAGAGACTGCGGACATAGTACAGGGATGACCAGAGACTGCAGACAGTACAGGGGATGACCAGAGACTGCAGACAGTACAGGGGATGACCAGAGACTGAAGACACAGCACAGGAGATGACCAGAGACTGCGGACACAGTACAGGAGATGACCGGAGACTGCAGACAGTACAGGGGATGACCAAGAGACTGCGGACAGTACAGGGGATGACCAAGAGACTGCAGACAGTACAGGGGATGACCAGAGACTGCGGACAGTACAGGGGATGACCAGAGACTGCGGACACAGTACAGGGGATGACCAGAGACTGCAGACAGTACAGGGGATGACCAGAGACTGCGGACAGTGCAGGGGATGACCAGAGACTGCGGACAGTGCAGGGGATGACCAGAGACTGCGGACAGTACAGGGGATGACCAGAGACTGCAGACAGTACAGGGGATGACCAAGAGACTGCGGACCTTTGGGGAGGGAGGGGGAGCAGGTACCTGAATTTGTCCTCCCTTTAGTGTGGGCACGCGGCTGACAGCCTTGTGCCCACTGCGCATGCACGAGAAGCGCTGCACCTTGTGAATGGCCTGGCGTCTTCTGGGACCTGTCATGTGTCCCAGAAGACACCGGGTCATTCACAAAGTGCAGCGCTTCGCGCGCATGTGCAGTGCGCACCCGGCTATAACAGCCGGGTGCCCACACCAAAAATGCCGGTGCCGGGAAGACTGTACAACGCTGGACCGAGGAACAGGTAAGGTCCTGCTGCAGGGAAGAGCTGAGCGGCCGGCCCAGTATTCTGACACGGTGGCGGCGGCAGCGGAAATACCGGACCGGCCGCTCCATATTCGCTCCATAAGAAGCACTGACATTTTCCCCCCCTTTTTTGGAGGAGAAAAAAAGTGCATCTTATGGAGCGAAAAATACGGTATGCTTATCCCCCATGATTCATTTTTTCTTTTTTAACCCCTTTAAATGTTTCTATTGAAGTCAACAGTTTTGCATGGAGAGAGGTGTAGAGGGCAGGATGTTGTTTAGCACCAATAACTAGAATAGACTTCAGTGTATTGTGAACGCCTGGTTGACCTAGCTGCAAGGTGTGATGTGAAATTTACATAAATCTCAGCTTAGAGCAAACTTGGTGAATGCATGAACTTGTAAACAGTTCTAATGTTCCCTGGATAGCATTATCAGTGTATTGAATGATTGTACTTGGTGTCTGGAGTTGCTCTTTAGCTCACAATATGCAGAGCCATTTAGATCTTTTCATGGGTTCCATTATTCAGATGCCATAAACCTTTATAAACTTGCCCTTACATTCGTGGTTGTGACTCAGAATGCTTTTTCCTTCCTTTGTATTAGGGAATAACACTGAAGAAAGAATTGGATTCCTTATCGTTTGATATGATCTTGATGAGTCCACCCTGCCAGCCATTTACACGGTAGGTTTGTAAAATAAAGGATATGTTAACAGTACCAAAAACACAAATAGTGGGGTAGATTCAACAACAGAGACACCCTCTGATGCAAGGCTTGAAAACCTTTTCCTGATCCTCTGCAGTTAATATTAGAAGTACATCTCTGTTGTTTTTCTTTGTAGTATTTTGAAACATTTATTTTGTTAAAGATGAGTTCTGTGGTAAGCAATTATTGTCTAAATACAAGGGACATGTGTGCTGTTATTTGAATCATGATGTTTATTGTGTATTTTTTTAAGATCTGTGTAGTAATATAGCATGAAACATTGCCTCTGTGCAGGAGCTTCCTGCAGTACAGACCGGTCACTGCTGCTCTTTCTTCTTGTACATGGTGACTGGTCTTGTCTCCACCCCCTTCTGTAGTTTTCTGCAGGCAGCCTGTAGTGGGTAGAGCTGCAGGGGTACTTTTTATAGCTCTGCTCTCTGCACAGGCTATATACAGGACTGTGATAATGTTACGACTATTTGGTGAACGTAAAGTATATTTACAGTTGTACAACAAACACTTTTCTCCTGCGCTAGGAAAAGACTCAGTAGACCCAATAGGAGTGTTCTGGAATTTTCTGGAATATGCACTGCTGCTGCCCTCAACAGACCAGGGTGGTCCAAATACACTGGATGCAAATGGAGAAAAAAAAAATACCAAAATGTCACGATTTCTGCCAGGGGATGCAAACTTTTGATCAGGGCCATTTGGGTGATATCTGTGATCATTATGACTATGTGATAATAAATGGCTTCCTCTAATCACTATCCTTAAATAAAAGACAGTTTTTTTAGCATGATCAGTCATATTTTCAAAATCAATACCAAAATGTCACGATTTCTGCCAAGGGATGCAAACTTTTGGGTACAAATGGAGAAACAAAAAAAGGGCGCACCGACCTAGTGCATTATCGTTTTAAAATATTTAGTTTGACATGCCTGTGTTTTTTATGTCTATTGTGAGTATGATACTTTATTTTTTCAATAAATATTTTAAACGATAATGCACTAGGTCGGTGCGCCCTTTTTTTGTTTCTCCATTTGTACTCAAAAGTTTGCATCCCCTGGCAGAAATCGTGACATTTTGGTATTGATATTGAAAATATGACTGATCATGCTAAAAAACTGTCTTTTATTTAAGGATAGTGATTAGAGGAAGCCATTTATTATCACATAGTCATAATGATAACAGAAATCACCCAAATGGTCCTGATCAAAAGTTTACATCCTCTGGAATGTTTGGTCTTGGTACAGACACACAAGGTGACACACACAGGTTAAAATGGCAATTAAAGGTTAATTTCCCACATATGTTGCTTTTTAAATTGCAATGAGTGTCTGTGCATAGTCAGTGAGTTTGTTAGCTCTCATGTGGATGCAATGAGCAGGTTAGATACTGAGCCATGGGGAGCAGAAAGGAACTGTCAATAGACCTGTGTAACAAGGTAATGGAACTTTATAAAGATAGAAAGGGATATAAAAAGATATCCAAAGCTTTCAATATGCCAGTCAGTACTGTTCAATCGCTTATTAACCGTTTCAATACCGTGCAATTTTACACCTTCCTGCCCAGGCCAGTTTTCAGGTTTCAGCGCTCTCACACTTTGAATGACAATTGCGCGGTCATACAACACTGTACCCAAACTAAAATTTTATCATTTTCTTCACACAACTAGAGCTTTCTTTTGGTGGTATTTAATCACCGCTGGGGTTTTTATTTTTTGCTAAATTAACAAAAAAAGACCAAAAATTTTGAAAAAAAAACACATTTTTCTTTGTTTCTGTTATAAAAGTTTACAAATAAATAATTGTTCTTCATAAATTTAGGCCGAGATGTATTCTGCTACATGTCTTTGGTGAAAATAACCCAAATTAGGATGTATTTTTTAGTTTGTAGGAAAGTTATAGAGTTCACAAACTATGGTATAGATCTGAAAATTGATCAATCCTGAAGTACTGACGGCCAATCTAATTTCTTGAGGTCCCAGAATGTCAGAATAGTACAGATATCCCCAAATGACCCCTTTTTGCAGAGTAGACAGTCCGACGTACTTCATAAGAGGCATGGCGAGTTTTTTGAAGTTGTATTTTTTTGTCATAATTTTTCGGAAAATTAAAAAATTTAAAAAATTATTTTCACTATTTTTTTTTTTTACATACTGTCACCAGTGCAGTACAGCGTCATCATATAACTGGCATGGCGGTGAACAGGGACACTGGTGACAGTATGATATTTTTTTTTTTTTATTATATTTAATTTTTTATTACATTTTTTTTATTTTTTTTAAGATTTTTTTTTCATATTTTACTATGACCAAAGTAGTACAATGTTACCATAGTAACATTGTACTACTTTGGGGAAGTGATCAGTATTTTTTTTTTTTTTTACACAATTTGCTTATAGCAAAGAATTACTTTGCTATAAGCAAGCATTTACCTGAATGAAATCGATTCATTCAGCTTTTTCTTTTTTTTTGTGCTTAGCTGTGATTTGGTCACAGCTAATCACATGACATGTGCATGTGATTAGCTGTGACCATTCACAGCTAGGCACTAGTATACAATGGATGGCATCATGAATGAAGCCATCCATGTATACAACTGTCATGTGACCTGCTGTGATTGGTCACAGCAGGTCACATGGTACCAGCAACGGGAGCCGGTACTCGGATCTGTCATCGGCCGTGTCCGAGGTGCACGGCCGGTGACAGATCGCACTGCTGCGCCGCTCTGCATTCGCGCAAACGGCGCATGTGTGGGAGCACGCCAAATGGCGTGCACCCAGAATGGAGAGACACATCTGAAGCCGCCAAACGGCCATTGGCCGGGCGGCTAATGGTTAAGAAGTGGAAAATTCTGGGATCTCTTGATACCTGGCCAAGGTCAAGTAGACCAAGAAAGATTGCAGCCATAACTGCCAGACAAATTGTTCGGGATACAAAGAAAAACCCACAGGCAACCTCAAGAGAAATACAGGCTGCTCTGGAAAAAGATGGTGTTGTTTTAAGGAGCACAATACAACAATAGAATGAGCTGCATAGTAGAGCTACCATGAGCCAATGCACAAAGAAGGTTTTATTACTGTCTGTGTCTCCATTAGGGAGAATCACTCTCTCTATTTGTCCTGATCACCAGTGTCACCAGGAATGAAAGTGCGGGTAAATCAAACATTCTGACAGTGCAAGAACACAGGGAGAATCTTCCAATTTGATTTCCTCCCACTTCATGACGTCAATGAATTAATCGTGAATTAAGGAGAATCGCCCCAATAAAGGCCCAGACAGCCATACAAACCTGACATGTTCAAACTATTCTCTACTCTCGGTACATTCTCTACTACAACCCCTGGCAAAAAGTATGGAATCACCACTCTTGGAAAATGTTCATTCAATTGTTTAATTATGTAGTAGAAAAAAAAACTAATCGCAGGCATGCCACAAAACGATTTTCATTTAACATTTCAACCTTCTGGCTGTAAGAAACACTTAAAAAAATAAAAAAGAAAGAAAACTGTAGTCATTTGCAACTGTTTTTGCAGATCAAGCAGAGGAAAAAATATGGGAACACTCAATTCTGACGAAAATATTTTGGCATCATGAAAAAAAAAAACACTACAGTACACCACTAGTACTTTGTTGCACCACCTCTGGCTTTTTATAACAGCTTGAATTCTCTGAGGCATGGATTTAACTATCGACAAACAGTAATCAGTCTGGCTCCAACTTTCTCTCATTGCAGTTGCCAGATTAGTTTTGCAGGTTGGAGCCTTGTCATGGACCATTTTTTCACCATAGATTTTCAGTTGGATTGAGGTCCGGACTATTTGCAGGCCATGCCATTGACATTATGTGTCTTTCTTGAAGGAAAGTTTTCACAGCTTTAACCCTATGGCAAG